TCTGTATGATGTAGCATCACTGACGAGTCCTAAAAGGACGAAACATCTGTATGATGTAGCATCACTGACGGGTCCTAGAAGGACGAAACATCTGTATGATGCAGCATCACTGACGAGTCCTAAAAGGACGAAACATCTGTATGATGTAGCATCACTGACGAGTCCTAAAAGGACGAAACATCTGTATGATGCAGCATCACTGACGAGTCCTAAAAGGACGAAACATCTGTATGATGTAGCATCACTGACGAGTCCTAAAAGGACGAAACATCTGTATGATGCAGCATCACTGACGAGTCCTAAAAGGACGAAACATCTGTATGATGCAGCATCACTGACGAGTCCTAAAAGGACGAAACATCTGTATGATGCAGCATCACTGACGAGTCCTAAAAGGACGAAACATCTGTATGATGCAGCATCACTGACGAGTCCTAGAAGGACGAAACAGCTGTATGCTGTAGTTTAGTTCATTATTTGGTTCTGTAATATCTTATTCGAAATTTCTATTTAAAGATGACATTCAATTTTGTACAAACTTATGATAGATAAAATGAGGATTTCAAAATATAGACCACCTGCACTGCGTACACGTTTAAATAGTCTGATATGTCAAACTCATATTCAGTTTGAACACGAAAAAGATAAGTGTATTTTGGGAATACCAAACATATCATGACCAACAAAGACGTTAATTGGAGAATCCTCACTATTTACCGGAACTGATATAGGTACAACCTGAATGATTACTAACCTGGAAATAATGTGTACTGACATATATATATTAGATAAACGAATTCAATATGAGAGACTGCATCTTACGACTTCAATTTGACTTACAGGTCACGATGACATAAGTAGGGAATATCGAATATAATGAGATAAGTACAAGAATGTACTTATATCTTCTAGAATGGCGACAAGTTGCCTCGTCAGGTCTATTTAGCTAGACGTTGCTTACGTTTTATTATTTTCATCTGTTACTTTCCAGCTCTGATTCTGGTCTGAACATTATTGAGACCGATTTTTTCCCTTGTAAATATTCAGATAAAAATCTATGTCTGATCAAACTGGTATGTAAAAACAAATAAAGATAATCAAACGATCATTTTCAGAAAGATATCTTATTCCATTGCGCGTGACCAGTACGACGGCATTAATCCTGGGCATAGAAACGGCGAAGATTCATCGTCTGAATGACTGTTCTGTTTGACGGAATACAATGTCGAGGATAATTTGAATCAAACAATTATCGGCATCAGACAACAACATGTATAGGGAATATAGATATAAGCATTGGAATGTCTTGTTCTGACATTCATGATCGTTACAAATCATGTTTATTCAAATTGTTTGCAAACAAGTATGTTATATTGCTTATGCCCAATACGAAATTCGCCAGAAAATAGCGACACGGTTCAGCATTTTGTTTTTAAATTTTGGGGTCAGTCCACCACCCTATCTGTTTTTATCATTAATGTCAACCTGTTTTGAAAAGCATCCTGAATATTAAGAATCTAATTCATCAGCATCCTAGGAAAACAAAATGGCTGTACAATCCAGTCTAATGCAGTCTTATTCTAGATTTGAATTGAAAGGTTCTATGTACTGATGTGTATTATGTACCATTTAAATTGTATCCAAGGACAACACCCTCCAACCTTCCCAGTTTATTAATAGTGATGCCATGTTGTCATTAAGCTCAGTGCTATAAAGATAAGTGATAGAAATTTCACTGCCAGGGCCTTTCAGAGCCTAACAGGGCCGAATGTCTCCATGTATTCAAGAAATCATTGATCATTAGCAACGAGATCAAATGTTGAGACATGTATGTTTACGTCATTCTCAGCACTAATGTTCGATATTCTCTTTGTTATCAGACGTTCGATATCATATACAGCGACGAGTCGTCGATATTCTCTTTGTTATCAGACGTTCGATATCATATACAGCGACGAGTCGTCGATATTCTCTTTGTTATCAGACGTTCAATATCATATACAGCGACGAGTCGTCGATATTCTCTTTGTTATCAGACGTTCGATATCATATACAGCGACGAGTCGTCGATATTCTCTTTGTTATCAGACGTTCGATATCATATACAGCGACGAGTCGTCGATATTCTCTTTGTTATCAGACGTTCGATATCATATACAGCGACGAGTCGTCGATATTCTCTTTGTTATCAGACGTTCGATATCATATACAGCGACGAGTCGTCGATATTCTCTTTGTTATCAGACGTTCGATATCATATTCTCGATATTCTCTTTGTTATCAGACGTTCGATATCATATACAGCGACGAGTCGTCGATATTCTCTTTGTTATCAGACGTTCGATATCATATACAGCGACGAGTCGTCGATATTCTCTTTGTTATCAGACGTTCGATATCATATCAGACGTTCGATATCTTTATACAGCGACGATATCATAGTCGTCGATATTCTCTTTGTTATCAGACGTTCGATATCATATACAGCGACGAGTCGTCGATATTCTCTTTGTTATCAGACGTTCGATATCTTATACAGCGACGAGTCGTCGATATTCTCTTTGTTATCAGACGTTCGATATCATATACAGCGACGAGTCGTCGATATTCTCTTTGTTATCAGACGTTCGATATCATATACAGCGACGAGTCGTCGATATTCTCTTTGTTATCAGACGTTCAATATCTTATACAGCGACGAGTCGTCAACATTCTCTTTCGTTATAAAACGTTCGATATCCTTTACAGCGACGAGTCGTTGATGTTCTGTTTTAGTTATCAGACGTCCAATATGATATCTTAACATTTCCGGTGTGTATTCTCTATTTGGCCTAACCTGATGTTTAACTTCGGTAAACGTCATGCCTGGTGCGGTAAAAAAAATATTGTGTGGTCTAATTTCGTTTTTTTTTTTTTTTTTTTTATGAATTAGAAACCCAAAGTAATATGTCAATGGAAATAACTAAAGTATCTCGCAAACTGGAAGTAAAAATATGACGTTATTGTGAAACTATTTTCTATTTACTTTCGACAGTTGACACACTTTCCCGCGAAATTTTGAATCAGCTGTTTTTTTCCGGATTGTTCCGCATGTGCGCGTACCGTCCAATGAACGCCAAGTGTTGTTTTTATGGAGCGAACATAAAGCAAAAAAATGCTTTCAGAATGTAAATATAACAAATGATACGTGTCAGGTATCTTCTATTGTCAGCAAACTTTTAATATTGATTTCAATTCAATTGAATCTCGACGCATCCTGTGTATAAGGAGTGGAACCAACACGAAATAACAGTAAAGATTTAATTATAAAATACATACCGATTTTGCTTTAGAATTTGAACTGAAATTTCGACTTTAAATTGATATTATAATGGGGATTTAAATATATAATTATAAAAACATTTACGATCTTAAATAGCTTTTCATACTTTACATCCAATATGAATATGTCAGATGGTGCCGATATCGCATTATGTCAAAATCTCAGAATAAATTCGAAACTCCTTTTTTTTTTAATAAAAAAAGAGAAAGACGTTATGTTCGGTTCTTTCATAAATAAAATGCTACTGATTTAATTCTACTCAGTATTCAGTGATACATAATTGAATTTTTCTTATAATGAAACGGGGTTCTTCACAGGATACCAAGCAATGAAAATATTGAATTAAGTCCAGTTTCTTAAAAATGAATGAGATATACTTAGTACGGACTTATCACGTGAGTATAAGGATTTAAACGGAAATCCTAATCTAGATAGGATACAAAGACATCATATTAAACATGGTCAGAGGGCTTCATTGGTAAGTAATTTCGTAACTAGTTCACGTAAGGAAATTCTATCGTATAATTAACTGGTACATAATGTATGAAGTGGAATGAAAACTAAGGCAAGATTCGCTGAGTACCTGATATTAAAAACCAACTGATCCAATTTCAATACCGCGATGAACAGGAAACTCATTTGTAGCACCTTTGCGTGTAATGCTTGATATATGACACAATCTCACATTCCCTGGAGAGTGGGGAAGGGTTTTTAGATATGATAATAATGTGCTATATTGCACCGAGTTGTAAGTTAAAGGTGCCCATGGATTTTAATTCGCGTGGTCCTGAGACAGTAGATTAAGAAATAGGCGGTGGAAAAAGCACAAACTTGTCCACATGGTCTCTGTTATTCAAAGAGTGGCGCAATATGATTCTACTTAAGTTAACCAGGTGTTCAATAATCATTTTATATTTATGTTGTAAAGGAATACATTTAATCTATCCATCAAAATTATTCTCTGACTACTGCTAAATTTTTTTTCAATTATTTACTTTATAAACATATACACGTTGAATGTTAACGTCTGCAGAAAATGAGGTTGAAAGGAGATTGACGACTAAATTGTGAACACGAGAATGAATTGGATTAGTTTTTGAGAAACTTTCTTCAGATGTTTATTTCTATAAATTCTGTTAAGTATGTGCAAAATGTGGTGATAACACGTGTTGCGTCATTAAGTTTGCTTTGCGCGGATGTTTTACATCTACAAATGTAAATAAAATATTTGTAGGCTCTTTGTACGTTTTAACGATCCTCAGTTCCTTTCTAAAATGCACTTTGTTCGTTAGTTCGTGAAAAATTATAAAGACGTCTGTCATTCTATTTTTGATTACAAGAATATCATTATATAGATAATAGCTACGTAATTACAAGCCTCGAAGTTGATGTTGTATACATAAAAACTGGGGTGTCCCATCACAATTGATGTTTATCTCCGAACTGCCTACTACAGTACAATTACGCGACCGTGTAACTCTTACTATAAAAAAAATACATAATCAGTGTAACACCCTCATACTTACGTATTAATTTATTACAGCCAATTAATTTGTACAGAGATCCTTCTCTAGATTGACAGGCAACACCGGAAGGTTGGCGTGGCTCAGCCTATTTAAAGCGATCGAGAAGGGTGGTGGTCACACTGTTCAGCACATAAGCCCGGTGCGCTCGCCTGTAGCGAGTGTGTACGATACGTTGAGAATAATACACTATCTTCATCAACAGCCTTAGTTATTAGTTATGAGAGGTAAAAGGGAGCATTCCCCAAGACGTGGGGACTCTGTCTGTCACAGGTCCTGTTCTTTATCTACCAGGAAAGCAATTATACGATTAATTGTGGATACCATACTGTGGATAATTGGTAAGTTGTGCACATAATACACTCGATAATGATATACAATCGTACATACTGTATTTAATTATGTTGTACTACATTTTATAATTTCATTACGAGATTTATGCTTACGTAAAAAATATTTAAAAGATATTTTGTTTTGTGGTATTGTCATAGTAATATATTGCATACAATGAACAAGCCTGCGTACACATTCAAACAACAAAGCATTTCAAAGCGAACGTTGGTAGCATTTTAAAGATACAAAAAAACAGCCCGCATATCAATTGAGTGTTTAGTGAATTTCCATTAACTGCAACGATGTAATTTGTGACATGCCATGATCCCTCGGATGAATCCAGGCGAACTACAGTAGTATACACATTATTCAATAGTCAACCTCACATTGGACATGTGAAAAATGTAAATTTATCACCGTAGGCAAGGGACAGGCTGGACACAAATCAAATCTCTACCTTCATATACACAATCGTTTAAACAAACATTTACGATACATTCCGTACCACATTTGTGTGATTGTGGTAGGTATACATACATACTTTCACAAGAGATAAAGAGGAGAGAGACACTCCTGCAATGTTCACTGTAGAAGGATTATCAGCGGGGCCTATCTTTATGTTTTCATTCACTTACCTGATATGCTAAAGTGTCATTGAGGCCTACAAGTAGGTGTTTACCCCCTGTTGTAGTACACTACCTTTATTCCTCCACCTGGTCTACCTTTACATAATAGGCTCTCCGGGCATGGCAATTAATTGTTAAATAATTTCACACTAAAGTACTTGTTTAATATCGATATTCATACGGACTAAGTGTTAAGTCTATCGAAATTGATATTAAAGAGTCACACCTTCAAAGGCAGTGGACTACCGGCTTAATCACCACAATCTGGATTAAGTAATATTGGTAACCCACATTAACGGCACTTGGTGCTCTCTCATACTGGAGTGGGTAATTGGTTTATATAGTGCAGGGTATGAAGACTGCCGAACACGTGCGAGTATAATAAACTGCTATTAACAGTGATCCGAAACCGAGCCATGTCAACATAACTCCCTGTGTAGATGTCGCTATGCCATGTTCACAATGACGTGATTTAACTGCTTTTTTTTAAAAGTTAAGGCTAATTTCATATTGTATCATTGTTTAGCAAGTCATTGTACTTGTCTGCCTGAGAATACAGATTTGTAGAAATAACAGTGCTGTGACAGACGTAACCATTGTTGGTGTCAATGAATATCACCCGTAACATGATACTCAATACTACACAAAGAAATAAAATTCAATGGCTCTGCTAGACACAGTTTTAACGTTTTATCTACTTTGCATCGGTATTACCTATGTAATATTTTCCGTTAATAGTGCTTGCGATATTCAACATTTTGTCCAAGCATGCGCTTTTGATCATTTCACATTCGGAAAAAAATGTTTCCAAATAACCATTTATGATCAAATGCAAATTGAAATGTTATCAGTGTATTTCTTATTTCATGAATGGAAAGCTGTAGCTTTTTAGTGGTTTGTATGGCCAATTTTAGTTCCATGTAGTGATACCTGTATAATTATTATCATGGTTAAATGCCCATGGCTATGTTTATCAATCCCGAAATTATAGGTAGAAGTTGTATATGTTGTCCCTTAATGGGTAGTCTTTTTATGTGAAACTAGAGCTCAGAAAATCATTACCACACCTTTTAGAGACTGCGGTCTGTAGACTTCCTATTGATTACTATTATACCTGTATGCTTGATAACAACTTCAAAGATATGCTTAATAGGAAAAGTAGAAGCTCGTTTATTAAAATGCAATACATCTGCAGTATGCTTGAGTTGTCAGGTACCAAGTAAATAAAATGAAGTTTGCCGTACACATATCTGTAAGTAAACGATATCCAGATTAACGCCTGAATTTGTTGTATTATACTATGCAGTGTTTCACACCCTGTGATGTTGAACTGACGCTTTCAGGCTGTAATCTCGTGTGTCATTCTCTCCCCCTTATCCGTGTTACATGCAGAAATTCGTGTCTAGGAGACAAATGCAGGTGGGATATCCCTGTTGCTAGATAAGATTTTATCAGCTTTATCTGAGGTATGGGGAGGAGTCGAGAATCCTCCCCAGAAATCTCCTATAATTACCTCATTAATACCTATATATCTGCCGGAGTCGGAGTCCGACATAGTTGTGTGTCTTATGGAGTTCACAGAAAAGCTTAAATTGCTAATTTTAAATGTAGTTTCGTTATATATGGTTGTCTGTTGATAAACCTGATATGATGAGTATTGAATATCGCTGCAAAGACGATAATTAAACTGTAATCTTTTAAAGTCAGGGATTGAATGCCAACAAAAGCTGTCAGAGTTGTAGTGACCCCTTCAGATTATAACCAAACGTGCCTTATGTTTAAGTGGGTTATGTATTAGCCACAAAACCCAAATTTCATGGAAACGTGACGCAAAATGTCAATGTTGTGCCCCTATGTTTGTAAATTAAACGAGAGAGTCAAACTATATATATTTGAAGACTTCCACTAAATCGTGCACAAAGAAATAAACTATGCGTTCAATTATAGATGAAATAGCACACACTTCACCATCATTAACTCATGAACTTAACGCGCAAAAACAGCAACAATCAACGGGTTATGGTAGCCAGAATCAATTACGTTTTCTGGGAAAGAACAAAAACCGTATCTTGTAACTAAACGAGCAATAAGTTAATCCGAATTTAATTACTCTGGGGGAGACGTAATAGTGTTTGCTAGAGGAGAACTGGCAGGTTGTATTTGTGTAATCGTTTTCTATTGATCCAACATGAGAGGGCAATTTACAGACTATGCATCTGTGTGTTCATTTCAGACTGAAAGTGACACAGACCGAATTTGAAACGAACCTCCAAAACTACAATTATACCATTATATACATCGTATGACTAAAACTTTCATGACTCACAAAAACAAATACTGGCCAAAACTCTGCATGCGAAAGAAAACTATATATCATATTTGCGTGCGGTTGTGTAAGATAGAAAAGAGCTATATTTTTAACCTGTTTGCGACCCCTTGTTATGGAAACAGAGCTATGCGTCGGGTTCGTGTGTGGTTGCACAATATAGAATGGAAACAATATATCGAACCTGTGTGCGGTCCTGTACGGAGAGTGAGCTATATATTTAAAAAAAAAAAGATATTCAGAGCACGTGTGCTTATGCTAGAACTATCCAATGTAAGTAGATTGGCCAGAGTGTCAGAACAGTCTGTTGTACGTGATATTTTATGTTTAGGATCTGTAATTTGACGTCATTCGTCGTTCGAAAAAGATGACATCATGCTTCGTGTAATCGGGAATCAAGAATATTCGTCTCATTATATATGCATTTGCTGGTCATTCATTGTTTAGTATGAGAGAAAAGGAGGTTTTCATGGTTTAGGGAGAAAATCTTTGCAAAGCCACTAAACGACCATGCTGAATAGTTATTGACATCCCGATGTGATCACGCAATAGTGAAACTGTTCTGCAATTCAGAAGAATTAGTATGTATATGAATTTCTTATGAAGGAGGATAAGATCAAATGATACGCACAGGGTCTGTATTAGCTGTATACCTGATCCAATGGTCGTCTTTGTCCAATGACACCATTCCTTTTTCGGTGTCGTGGTGGTGACAAATTGGAGCTTTTCCATTCCGTGCTAGCATAAGGCACATCCTTCTCCATTTTCAGGTAAAACCAGCATCATTACGGACATTCATGGGCTAATGAAAGGACAAGCGATATCTAACCATGATGAATATGGGAATTTGATACTACAATGAACACCCATCCGGATTAGATCAATGTTAACTAGTGGCTTGTTATACTTCTTTTGTTCGGGTATATTTAATTTATGGAGAAAAACATGACCTATTCCTTAGCAAGTTCAGCAAAACCAAAACTGAAACACTTCATTACGCACGCGATAAAATGATATAGAAAATATGCTAATTTAATTATTTACTTTCAGACTTTTCCTTGTATCTCGTGTCAGTTTGTATTTTATTGATGGTAGATGAACTCTCATATTTATTTACAATGTTATGCAAATAAAACTAAATTATTTTGGTGAAAAATGAAGTCCTTTTCAGAAACCCTGAGATATCTCAACGTCATGACTGTTTCTTTATGTGTTAATAGCTGCAGAAATGGAGAGAGGAAAATGTATACTAACTCCTTTATGTTATGTGGGTGGGCATCGTATAAAAATCTCAAGTTACATTAGAGTATAATAAAAAAAAATGTCTTCGCTCATTCCCCAGAGTTAATGCTTTGTGACTGCAAGGAAACGTATATGAAAGACTCTTTCAATATTATCACTAGTATCGTATAATTTTATTTGATCATTTTTATATGAGTTAGTGTATTTCCTTGAAAAATGCAAATACGTCAGCTCAGCTTCTGAATGGTGAAATGCATTTATTTTTAAAAGATGTGAAATTGAAAACTGATGGCAATTTAATGACTACCGACTCTCAATGAAAAAAAAAAGATTTGAATAAAGAGGAGAATATTCCGATCTAGAAATCGATCTTAGAAAACACATTTTCGATTTTTTTTTACATTAACCGTTTCACGTTTAGGCTGACTTATCTTATTGTTAGAGAATTCTATCATACAGAGCATTCGAGGCGTCTGTGTCAGTTTCAGCATCAGCAACAACGCGGAAGCCAGCTGATTGCCGATTGATATCGTAATTGAAATCGATTATTCTCTTGTCATGCCACTGAAAGTTAGCATTGCAGTTGAACGTGTACTTTACACGTAAGTTTCGTGTTTACCAACAATCCATGTCGCCTTTCCTAGTAATGATGATAACAATAGACCATCTGTGCTGTAGACACGTGACGATACAATGAAACCACAACTCGAAAACCTACAGGTTTCTATGATTCACAGTGTTGTGATAACTTGATAAGGAAAAATGATTTAGTGTGTACATATAATTCATGATTAGAAAGACTCTCTTCTTAGTT